ACTGGACTGGTTGAGACTGGAGGACTCTCTGAGACTATCGTCCTGAAATATTCTTCAAATCTTGAACCGAAAGTAACCCTTGAGGTCATCTTGTAGCTAAATAATAAACTGACTCAAAAAATAATGAATATCACCCATAAGTACTGTGCGCCTTTAAAAAATCACCTATATGAGACCAAATGGTCAATAATTACTTTAAAACAAAGATGAGAATGTAAGGAGGCAGGGTAACTAGATTAATGGAAACAGAACAACCAGAACAAAAATAACAAGAATGTCATTGAACAACCTGTGTTGAAACTGTTGAATGGGAACCTAAACTGCTGTGTAAACCTTCACCAAAAACACAATAAATATTATTTTTAAAAAAATTACTTTTCAAGTGCCTACTTGTGCCATGCTGGGCTAAGCTGTAGCCTACAGAAATTTATAATCTAAGTGGCTTATAAATAAGTGACTTTCAACTAAATGTTAAATATATCTCACAACTGTTTTCAAACTAGTATAAGATAGCATTATCACAGTAAAATTTTTATTTACTTACTTCTTAAAATACTACAGAAAAACCCTTTAAGTTAGCCACACATCAAATAACAGAATAAAGCCAAATACAAACTATGATTTATTAACATTCATTCATACAACAAATACTGAGTGCCTACTATGTGTCAGGCACAGTGCTAGGTCCTCATATGAAGAATGCAGCAGATAATAAACACTTTCATATTACTGTATTTTTATGCACACCTCCCCCCGCGAGGCATTTTCATATGCGTGCTATGCTAATTTTTTTACAGCAACATGTAAAAAAAATTTGGGATAGTGGCACTTATGAACATACCTTGTGGGGGGGAGGGCGTGGTTGGCAAACAAACATAGAAGGCGTGCATTATTCGCATAAAAAAAGGCATACTTTTCTATTAGACTGTCAGCTCCTACAGATAGCACAAATCTTATTATTTTAGCCTGCCAAAAAGTTGGCACTCAAGAAACATTTGTTGATTAGTAGGGAGAATAGCAAAATATTTCAAACAGTATATGTGTACAAAAATCACTGTGGATTTTTTGTGTGTGTGCGTTATTGAACATATTGATGAATTAAAACTATTTTTAAAGTGTGTGAGTTAACAATTGGAAGGTAACTTGACAAAAGGTAACACCGAATTAGGGTAAAGCTTGCACAGCTTGACCAAGGTAAATGATGTCACTAAGATGTACACAAGAAAAAAGAACTTTTCGTAATTGTTATAGCATATATAATTTTGCAACAACAGCAACAACAAACAAAAAATATATGTGTGGGTATATATCCATGTATCTAGGTATATATGTATATAGATACATATATGTGAGTATGCATATGTGTATGTATATGCATGTATGTGTATGTATGATATATAATAAAACACATGGGGGCAAAATTACAGATATGTCTTAGACATAAGCAAACACCTCACAGGATTGGTTCTGTGTTGGAAGGCTTAGGACCATGGTCTCATGCGACAACTTGGTCAATTGGCATAATATAGTTCATAAAGTTTATGTTCTACATCCTAGTTTGATGAGTAGTGTCTGGGGTCTTACAAGCTTGTGAGCAG